TCGCGTCTATCGGCCGCGAAATTGCTTCAGTAAATATGTTCAACTACCAGGGCTCTTCCTCCTGTCTCTCACTCTGAATGGAGCGCTGAGTAATAGGCTTGTAGTTGTCGCGATGTTTAAGACCGGTGTTGGCTTCACGGTTCATAATTAGCTTTTAATGCACAGAGACGGCTTGAGGGAAGGAAACTGACGGAAATGTGGAATGAAAGGAGGCCTGCTGTGTGGCCACAGTGATTCAGGCTCTTGTTCTCTAATTAAATGACCTCAGAGGGAACGCTTAGCTTAAGTGTGTGTGTGTGTGTGTGTGTGTGTGTGTGTGTGTGTGTGTGTGTGTGTGTGTGTGTGTGTGTGTGTGTGTGCTCGCCCTCTAATATGGAGGTCTGTGCCATTTGTATTCATCCTCGCAATGAATAGGGCGTCTTCTACAAAGCCTAAGCAGCCCTCCCTGTGCCCCCTTTCGCCTCCTTGTTGGTTGTTGGAAATTTGCCACAAGATTCCATGTCTTTTAACAAGTGGTCTTTTCGCATAGCTGAGGACGTCGTAGTCGGGGACGCAGTAGCCCCCCCATCCCCCCCCCCCCCGGGCCTTTTCCTACTGCACTGCCAGCCTTCCTGGGAAGCTGCATGAAAGCTTACATTTGTGTGTTTATGCCACAACAAAGCAAAAAGAAAGCTTACATGATGATCTATGTTCTCCTCCAAAATGGGGTGAAAAACATCTCCAAAGTCCAGAACAATAAAGCCTAGTGTCAAGTTACTCTGTTAGTTTCTCGTCTCTAGGTGGACATGAGTTCAGTGCCAGCTCATTGGAACCATTTCTGTGCGCACCGAATCAAAACAGCGCAACTGAAATACTCTGCGGGTCTCTGTAAGAAGCAGCGTCCCCGGTTCTCTGGATATTCCACCAACCTCCGTGTCAACAGACGAGTATTTTCTTCCATAAAAAGTTTGTTCTGTGAAAAGTGTTGACAGAACGGTCTGTGGATTATCCAGAGTAGCAGGGACACCATCCCCGGAAAAAACACATGGCTGCTGATATTTTTGGCCCACAGCAGTGAAAATGTCAAACAGAATTCCATCCACCTCTGAACCAGGGAAAAACACTACAAGGATTGTATAAGTACTATTCAAATGAACATCCATATATTGATATTTAGACGCATGTATACTGTATACAATTATATTGATTTTAGAGCAGAAAAAAGGAAAACATTCTTTAAAGCTCTAGTTATGTTGCATTTGTTTGATGGGATGTGACTAAACCGAGACAGAAAATCTCAGATAAAAGCACAGAAATGTTCCACATAAAAAATAAAGGCCCCATCACTTATGGGGAGAAGCTGACTGGGAAAGCATTTGTGTGTTGGTACGCCTGGTACTCCACGTCGGGCGGAAGGCGCCTCATCTTTATGACTTGCACTGTCGCGGGTTGCACTCTGACACCGTTTTGTGGAACGCTTCAGTCTTCCTCTGGCGCTCTGCACGCCGTCATAAAAAGAATCCCAAAAGGACATTTGAGCCCAAGCGATAAAGTTCCAGCATAGCAACTGTTATGGCTGTTTTCGTTGGCTCACGCACGGCCTGAATGGATGTGTCCATTACTGTTGTCCTGCATGCTGACAGCCTTCGGCCGTTACGGCCACCTGGCACGTCTCCCGGCCACTGGCACGGTAGCAGCGGCGCGTAACCGGATCCGGCTTTTGATGAGTGGAACTTCAACAGCTGCTCAGGAGGGTTTTTGAGAGACGGGGGGGCAGTGGCCGTGTTGTGTGCGAAGGGCCAAATGCGCTTTGCACAGACGAAGGAGACGGCGGCGGAATCACAGTTGACGTCTTAATTGGCCGCCGGTGCCAGACGCCGCGCCGGGCTGGTGTCTCGGCAGCCAGGCCGCGCTTTGGGAGCCCGCTGGCTCCATCGAGTGCTCCCACGGGTATTAGGTACTCCAGTGTGGTGCTGCCGTCCCTCCTCTCTCTCTCTCTCACACACACACACACACACACACACACACACACACACACACACTGCATCCTTCCTGCAGAGCTCTCTGAGGCGTTGTCAATCTGAGGCAAATTCAGAAAGAGAAAAGAAGCTCGGGCCTTTGTCGCCCTCAGGCTTTGTGTTGAATCTTTTCATACGGAGGCACCGAGGTCTGGTTTTTCTGCCGCTTCGCGCGGCGATTGGATTGTTATGGCCCCACCCTGCTCATTTATAGCGTATAGATCTCCCGCAAAAGTCCAGTTAGCGATCAAATAACTGTAGCTTTACCGTCTAACTACCGACCTCTGACCTCTCGCTCTTCGGCCTTCCACCCTCATTAAGCAATGCTGTTCTCAGAGGAGGAGGATGCTGAGTCGGAGGAATCAATTCACACTATTTGCAGGCTGTCGGAAGCACACAAAGATGTACCCAGCCATGTGACGGTACGTTTGTTTGATCTGAAACGGGAGCACGCAGACGCCTCGCACTGCGGTTAAATAAGGAGAGTAAAAGGTACGGCGGAGGACTGACATTAAAGTGGAATCTGATAAGAAAACAAGAGCGGCGGTGGTACCGCAGCGTGAAATAGGCCGCTCACAAAATGATGAGCTATTGCGCCTGTTTGAAATGATTCTTTAATCCTTGGTGCGAAGCAGGAAAGTGTTTTTTAGTGAAAAAATGAAATCAAAATTGCAGCGTATTCTCACACACACTGCAGTGCTCTTAAAAGTGCTTACTGTCTTTGAAGGGTAACTCGTGCTAAGTGGATCAGGTTAATATTCAATTGTACATTTTGCAGCAGAGTCAAATAGGCATCAGTTGAGTTCTGTTTGAGCAGAACACCTGTTAAACATGGACGCACATACACACAAAAATCTGGGGACACGTGGAGCTGGAGGGGCTTTTGACTGCACTCATTCAAACTCCTCAAATAGTATTACTGCCTGTCTAGACTATGCACTATTCAGGATGCAATGCTTCTTTGTAAGTTTATAATCAAGTTATTCTGCTCCGTCGAGAGAGGTCAGAGGTCAGGTTCCACCCCTGGACCCGACTGTCCATATAATTCTGAACTCGCCGAGGGACATTTCTACTCTGCTACTTTTTCGTCTGCTGCGTTAAAGTTGAACTCTCCTCTCTCCGACTCCCTGTCGTGCCCCTCCAGAGCGCGCCATCGCCAGGCACGAGGTGCGAGAGATCGAGCAGCGGCACGCGCAGGACGGCCTGCGGGAACGGGACTCGCCGGCCTCGCCGCCGTCCGAGGGCGAGGACGACATCGTCATTATTTACAACCGCGTGCCCAAGACGGCCAGCACCTCCTTCACGAACATCGCCTACGACCTGTGCGGGAAGAACCACTATCACGTCCTGCACATCAACACCACCAAGAACAACCCGGTCATGTCCATACAGGACCAGGTGAGCGCGCACTTTCTTTCGTCACGTAGAGGCCTGCTTTCTTTCTTTGTTCATTTGTCATTCACTCAGTTTTTGGTTTGTTTCTAGGTACGATTTGTGAAAAATGTGACCGAGTGGAGGGAAATGAAGCCGGCCTTCTACCACGGACACGTCTCCTTCCTGGACTTCACCAAGTAAGTGAATACACCGTCTCGCGTTGTAACGGCAGCATGGTGAAAACGGGTTCGTTCTCCCCCTTGTGGTCATTCACGCCGCTTCACTCGCGCGATGTGATTGGAGGCGCTTGACTGAACCGCTGACCTCAGCATGTTGCAGCCGAGAAAGAAGCACATGATTGAACTTGTGAATCTGTGTCCGTATTCGCTGTCAGGTTTGGGGTCAAGAGGAAGCCCATCTACATAAACGTGATCCGGGACCCCATTGAAAGGCTGGTGTCCTATTATTACTTCCTGCGTTTCGGGGACGACTACAGGCCCGGTTTGAGACGCAGGAAACAAGGAGACAAGAAGGTAGAAATTCATGAGTTGTCTAATGTTGCTGTTGAAATATATAATAAATGGATTGATTTCTTTTTTTCCTAAAAAAAAAATGCTGATTTATTCTATTTGTGTTTTTAGACGTTCGATGAATGTGTATCAGCCGGCGGCTCCGATTGTGCTCCTGAGAAGCTCTGGCTCCAGATTCCCTTTTTCTGTGGTCACTACTCTGAATGCTGGTGAGTGTTCAAACATCTGGCACTGTTCAGACAACACACATGGAAACAACACTTGATTTAGCTTTTGACACTTGCATGAAAATGAATAATGCTCCTTGTGTGTGTGTGTGTGTGTGTGTGTGTGTGTGTGTGTGTGTGTGTGTGTGTAAGCCTGGTGTCCAAGAATTAAAAATTGTTAAGTGAAGTCCAGAATTCTGGTGCTTTCATCCCTTACGAAAGCACCTATTGTGTTTCAATTGTTTAAATGCACAAGTGTTAAATCCACCTCTCTTTAGCCTATTTGTAGCTTTGCTTTTAAGGAGAAACTTAATTCTTGGAATGTGGTTTAATGACAGTCTTTCTAGGTATTATGGGCCACAGAAACGTTTTAGTGGCCCCTTGCTGCTGTCTTTCAATTAAATTTTGTTTTAAATTGCCTAAATGTTAGCCCTTCCTTCTCCTCCTGAAGGAGTTCAGGAGGAATACTGCATCAGTTTTATTTCGAAATGCACACTTTAAACGTCATTGTCCATTTCCATCCGTCTTCTTCTCAAGGTCCCTGAAAGCTATCTCAGTGTTGATTTGTTATCTCTACACGATGATCTCCATCAATCTCTCTCCTTCGCTGGCCTCACTTTCCTCCCTTTAATCTCTCCTTCACTCGCCCTCCATCTTTTAACCATTTACTGTCCTGAGGCAGGTGACTCCCACTAGGTCTGAGTGACTGAAAGCCCCTTTCACACACACGTCCTGAGATAGTGCTCTCCTGTTAGCTGGGTTTCGCTATGATCGGGTTCACTGCTGTGCGCTCGCAGCATACTAAAGCAGCGGGGAGCACATTGGAAACAAAAAATGAAATGCTTGTTGACAAAAAGGGGAAGGGGGCCCCTTCGGCTCCTAATACTGAGTTTAAAGAGGCTTTGCCAGAAAGTTACTTTGCAGGTTCAAACAATATACTTCCTTTCTTAATCATTTCTTAACAAAACCATGCTACTATTTATTTCCATCCTTCCTGCCTTTCTCCTCCAGTTGACTCGGCCCTCGCTGGACCCTGTCCACGTCTCATTTTTCCTCTCGCTGTCTTTGTACCTTTTTCAGCTCACTCCCTCCCTCCTCCACGCGTTCTGTCCATTCTCCGTCCTCATCATTTTACATGCAGGGGAACTGCCACTTCTCCACCACGATGTGAAGAACACTTACGGAATGAACACTGAACATAATCTGTGCAGGAACGTGGGCAGCCAGTGGGCTCTGGAGCAGGCGAAATACAACCTGGTGAATGAATACATGCTGGTTGGATTAACGGAGGAGCTGGAGGACTTTGTCATGATGCTGGAGGCCGCGCTGCCCCGCTTCTTCAAAGGAGCCACTGAGCTGTACAAAACAGGTGCCAGCATCTCCTGAACAGTTGGAATCTATTGGCTTTTTGTTATTTTTGTTTCCCCCACTAATTGTATAATATGCTGAAAAGCTAAAGCTCAATGACTCCCTCGTATTTCAATCCTGCAAGTGTCCGATGCGGTTGCATATTAGCCGTCTGAATTGCTCCTCTGAGAATTGCAACGGTGATCGATACGCGCTCATGACCCTCGCTGATGTAGTTACAGATTAGTTTTGAGTGCAGCCAGAATTAATAAGGGAGAGCACAGAGGAATTAAATCTGACATTGATATAAATGTACTTTAGCTCGAGTATGTTAATCATTTTTTTAGCAGCAGATACCCCCCAGCACAGGAGTTGATCAGGTACTAGTGCCGCGCCCGTTTGAATCATGTCTGTTTGGAACAGTAGCGCCACAGGCCAAGCATTTCGGTTCTCCCAGCGCTGCACTTCCTTGGGCCCTGAGAAATTCACCTGATGCATCACACACCCAAGTCAGATCTACTGGAGGTCAAAGACATCAGCGGAATACGCTCTGGTTCCTGGGAATCTATCACTCTGCCCTTTTGTGGGATTTGAAAGTTTTACTATTGGTAGTTAACCCATGCGCCATTAATAATAATGCAGGATGCCAAAAATGCAGCGCAAATTTATGAGCCAGCCAGTGGAAGACAAAGTGAGCAAAAGGGCGTTAGCTGGGCAAACACAAGTACACAATTTGTGTTCCAATGGCAGAGTGGCTCTGTGCCTGTGCAGGTATCCACTGTGAAGTTACCCAGCATTCATGTAAGCGTCGCTTCAGCAAAACGTGCATGTGTCGACATTCCAAAACAAAACAATTCTCCTCTTTTTAACTACAGGGAAGAAATCCCACCTGAGGAAGACCAGCGAGAAGAAGCCGCCCACGAGGGAGTCGATCGCCAAGCTGCAGCAGTCGGCCATCTGGAAGATGGAGAACGAATTCTACGAGTTTGCGCTGGAGCAGTTCCAGTTCGTCAGGGCACATGCTGTACGAGAGAAGGACGGGGAGCTCTACCTGCTGGCACAGAACTTCTTCTATGAGAAAATCTACCCCAAAAACTGAAGAGGCACGTGTCCGCAGAAGAGGACACTTGGTGCAGGCTCGATGCGGTCTGCCATGGGGAGGAGGGAGGGGAGGGGGGGCGTGAGAGTAATGGACTGACAGGTGACTGTTTGTACTTGAGAACATGGCGCTGCAGAACAACCGCCCTCTGGTGACAGCTGCCTCGTCCGTGCGCCGGCCAACTGGACGGGACGGGGCGCTTGTGTTTCGTTGGCGGGTTGTTGTGTTCCCAGCAGCCCCGGGGCCTCCACCCCCCCCCCCCCCCTCTCACTTCCATACCAAAAGGTCGTCGGGGCTGGAGAACCTCTGCCGGCACGTGTCTGGAGATGCCCTCTCCCGATTGGCTTCTCTGTCTGACGCGGTTTGGTTGGCTCTGTACGGTTTGGTTGTATTTTAACTTTTTTTTTCTGCCTATGACGACATGTTTCACGGTGACACAACATCTCCATAACTCAGCGCCACCGCTTACTACTAACTTATAGAGATTTCAAGTGTAAGAAACTGACTACTGTGCTGTATTATTGGACTTGAATGCAAGCGTTTTCGGTTTTGATGAAATAAAAATCTAGTGACCATGGATTATATATACAAGTGCGTATGTTTTATACGGTACTTGATTGTCTTTTGTTGGTTGTAATTGAGCAGCTTTGCCCAGACGCTGTTCCTCCGTAAAGAAAGACGACATTATGATATTGAAATGTGGAAGAACAATATGGTGAAGCTGCAGCTGCTGTAAATATTTACTACTTTTTCCAGTCTGATTCATTCACATGCAGATTTGCTACAATATAAGGTTGATCCATTTCTACAGCGAGTTTATTCATTTCATTCTTTAGTCTCCATTTGATTTTCTGGAAGTTCTTTTCATTGTCAACCAGACGGACTGAAATATGCCAACGTTTTGGGAAGAGCTTTAATTTGCTTCCTTGTCGAGAGTTTAATCAGGAGATGGTGATGTAATTCACTCAGATAAAAATCTTTGGTTTTCTTAGCGGTTCTCCAAATACAAATGGTAGGTTGGTAATAACTTTGATAATTGGCTTGTGTAGTTGTCATCTCTTGTTCCTTTAACATTGGGGTTTTAAGGCATTTTATTGGCTCATTTAAAGATCACCCTTTAAAAGATGGCTTACTAAACGTTTAAAGTGACATAATGTTGTATCCTCAACTAATTCACTCGAAAGAGCTACGGAGATGTTTCATACTGGATGTACAGCCACATTACAAAGGTAATTGTATTCATCTGAGGACGTTTTTGTGTGCCTTCCACACACACACACACACACAGCTCGCCTTGTCTTGTCAGATGGAAAGTGACTTGTTTTTGTCTGGATTGCCAAACAAAATATACAGATTTTTTTTTTTTTTTACTTCAAGCGATGCACGTGTGTTCTTTTATTTAGTTTCAATGTTGGTGCGTCATCATCAAGTCGAACAGAGCAGGGAGTGGTGAAGACAAATAAAGCTGCTGCTGCTGTAAGAATGAAACCTGCATTATTCCAGAACTGGTGTCCTGCAGAGGGAGATAAAGAGCTGCCCGCTCTGCTCCTGCCTCCCACTGCGTTTCGTGTTTGTCATTGTGATGGCAGTATTTAAAATATGTTCGGGGCATTAAACCTAATTTAAGTCACTTATGTCTCAGCTGAGAAAGGGAGATCAAGCTAGAGCACTGGAACTAGACACCATTGAGAGTGTTTATAAGGCCAGTGCTGCTGCTCAGCCCGCTCTCAGATAATCCCTGGACAGTCAACAATTGCACTCATCCCCATTAATCTCAGTTTGTTTTCCAGTTACAGCTTCCTGGTTTTGTCCCTCTGACCCAAACAAACGTGGAGGTTCCCCCTCGTAACGAGCAGACTGGCACAGCGCTTCAACCCCTCTGAGGCTTTTTATGTGGTTGGAAAAGGAAAAGAATCAGAGGTGGCTGCTGTCGGCAATTGTATCTAAAACACCTTGTTCCAGATTTTGTACGTTTTCTTAGTTTTTACGAGATTATTATTTCCATATTCAGCTACTATTGTGTTTGGCTGCTATGAACCAGTAAACCATCAAAATTGACTGTGTATTTATTTATTTTTTACACAATTTGACTAAAACAAGCATTTTCCAAGAAGGTCCTGGGTTTGATTCTTTCTAAGTCTTTTTTCTTTGGTGTAACACCAGAAAACGAGGACAACACAATGACATGATCAGGGTTCCAGGCACAGACCTCCTTATTTATTAGGATTTCTCTGAGATTTTACAACCACGTGCACAACACCTAACATCCCATTAATCAGAGCAAAAATGTTCATTAAAATAAGCAACAGATCATTATGGTTCTCATTCATCTGTCAAAAACAGAGCTGAGAAATGCTGATGAAAACGGATGCATCTTCCTGATAAAAGCAGGAATTCATTTATCCAACGGTGCAGAAACCGCTTTAGTCCATACCTCATCCATTGTGTCCTCCCACACCAAATGCAGCTTGTGGATTATGCAGACGCACCATATTGATCACGTCCCGTCTGCAAGCACCTGTCCTCAGTCCACCTCTGGGACAGCGTCACTGCGGAGGGATTTTACTTGGAGCACATAATTCTGCACATCGGGGCCTCGGCCATTTATACTAAGTGGATAATACTTAGATAATGAGCCAGCATTGTTGTCCCCGCCACTAAATATGAGAGACCACCCCATAAGCACACAGACTGCCCTCTGAGCCGTATGGCCTGAGGTGGCCGTGGTACCCGAGGATGTGTGACGTGTCATGCACGGGCCCCGGTGGAGAAGAGTTCCTCGATTGTCCTGAGGTTTCTTCACAGCATGCAGCTCCTCATCTACTCGGCTCTGCCGCGCAAAAAGGGACTGTGACTGTGAAGATGTGATATGGCAGTTTCTGTCTGCAGCGCAGCCCTGGTTGTTTGCAAGGTTTTAAAGCATCTGCATGGTTCTTTTGATTTGAACGATGTATTATCTTCTGCAACTTACTCAAGCAACACATTCAACAACAATTCGGAGCCACCTACACTCTTTGAGTACAGCAGCAACGTTTGATGCCACTTCTACTTAAATACATCTCAGAGGGTCATTTGTTTCTGTTGCAGATACCTTCCTTAATTATGACGCATTGCTATAGAATAGACAGTTATAGAAGTTATATCCACCTTCACTGTGAGACCGAATTCAAGCCAATTAGTAAAATAATAGTGATTTTACTTTTGTTTCTTTCATTTAAATGGTGACGCCTCTGTACTTTGACCTGAATAATGCCAAATAATACCCCCTTAACTAACATTAAGGCTGTTTCAGTAATATTCTCAGCAGACCTACTCGGTCCGCACATCTAAGAAGTTGTGCTTCTCCATCTATCTGTATGAGTTGTGTTTGGTGTTTCATGTCCTGGAGGAGAGGCCGGGCTGAATGAAGTCGAGTCACGTGTTAACCGTCCGGGCGGAGAGCAGCTCCTTTCGGGGCGGAACGCTTCCACTCAAAACCACCGCCTCTTTTCTCCAAACCGCACCGGGACAGATTTACTCCTGACGGCTCTTTTTCTTTTTTCTTTTCTTTTTTTCTCCTCATTTCGTATCCATGAACACAGCAGTCCGCCCTCCAGGAGCCACTCTAGGACGGCGTGGCCGCGTCAATGAAGTGTGAAGACGACGCGGGGAGCCCGGCGTACCCGGGGGGACCGATGATTTGGTCCAAATAAACACTTTTATTTATTTATTTTCCCTCCCCCTCGTCGCCGGAGAGGGAAACTTGAAACGAGGCAGAGTTTTTTTTTTTTTTTTTTTTTGGGAGTTCCACCTCCCCTCCTCTCTCCCCGTAGGATTTGATTCAAAGGCGAAAACCAAGATGGCCGCCGACTCCGTGCAGGTAGGAAAAGTTGACAACTGTTGCGAAAAGTGCGCAAAGTTGCTCCAGAGGCTCCAGCACAAAGTTAGTAAACAGCGGGATCCGGGAGAAGCCGAGTCGCTGCGAGTCCTCGGGGTTGTTTTTGTGTCTGTGCTAACGTAAGAGCCCACAGGGTTGTCTGGGAATGATCCATGGATTGAGGCCTGGGAAACAATTATCCAAAGTTATTTATCCTGAAATATCCCAAGTTTTAAACCGGTAGTTTGGGGCGGAAGCTGCTCTGTTAATTCGTGTAACGGCCACACATAACGCGCTATAACGTGTGTGTGGCTGTAGATCAAGCTAAATAGCGGGAGATGGACGTTCACTTTACAGCGAGCGGTTTGGGATTATATATAAATAACGTTAGTGTCCTGTGTGTACATGTCAGTGACGGATGACGTCACATTTTTCACATGAATGCAGTTAAAATCGTGATTTGTTGTATAAAGCGCTGGTTTGCTTGACTTTTAAAGTCATCGAGCGCGTTACAGACCGGATGAAGAAACTAGCAGTCCAACATAAGCCCGAGAAGAGTCCTCTGTACCATACAAGTGATCCCTTTCTCTACTTCGGATAAGCTAAGTGCATAAAAGGCACATCATGTTTCATTCTTCTCCACGAACAGTCGTGACTCATTGACTGATGTGGTTTCACTTGGGTGACGTCAGACCCGAAATAAGTCATTCCGACATAAAACATTGTCCGAAACCTACAGGTTTATCTTCGACTTCATCTGATCCCTTTTGAAGTGCAGTCCAGCAGTAGTTCTATTAATATATTCCCCAAAACTGGCTGATCACTCACACCCTTCATTCATCTTCACCTCTACGACAGGTGCTAATGAACTATATTGTTGGCTCAGTGTACTTGATGTTAACCTTTTGTTTTAGGGATAAACACAATTTTCTTGCTTCGGGTGTATTGGATTAAATTTATCAGTCAGACAATGAAAGACATACGCCAGCTGTGGGCCACATCTGTCCTTTTTGCTATGAAGACGGACACAGAGAAAGATGTCCTTTTTTATATGTTTGATCACATTGGTACGGTTTATAGGTGATGTAAAGTAACATCCCAGCTGGCTGGTGGTGATTGATGTCGCAAACGCAGGAGTACGATTTAGAGTCAAAAGTTTGTGGTCGTCCGCCCCAAAGTTTGATCTGTTAGACGTGTGAGTGGACTACTGCATATTGTTTCTTGTCTTTCAGGCTTTAACCTTGTAGAAAAGGATGTTTACAAACTGTAGAAAACCTCCAGAGGGTCAACCAGACCGACAAAAGAGCCCAAAAAATCCCTCTTGGCATCAAAATTTTTGCAGCAAAGTTTGTTCCTAAACAGAAATGGGAGGTTTTGGAGGATAACCTCTGTCGGAATATCAGCGTAACATCACAAATCACAGTTTAACCAATTCAATCGTACCACTGAGTACACTGCATGGAGACAAACTACCCCAAAAAATGTAGATCCCAAGAGCTGATCACAGTTTAATAATGATTCAAGGTAACTTGTGCTTCTCTGTAGTGGAAAACCCTTGTAAATCAAATCAATTTGAAGGGCACGGTTGCAGCAGTTTGGTCTCCTAGCATGTAACAACTAATCCTGATAACGAACAACACAAACACAGCCCTATGTTGTATTACTTATTGAGATTGTAGCGCATTTTAGATATTATGACTTAAAGATTGCAAACCGGAAGTAGTCCTTGTCCACATGTAGTGGAACCGGTCAGCGGAGGAACGGGTGCTTTGTCCTTCTGGACACACTGAAATGACCATCAACATTGGCCTGAAGTGCAGGACATTACCTACGGTTTGACTTGACATGGGACATGTGTAGGGCTCGTGTGAAGGCTGTGTTTGTGCGATCCGTGTTTATTAGCCCCCGTTGCTATTTCTGGTGGCGGCAGAGCACCAGAAGGTGGCTAATACTCCGCAGCCAGCTGTGGGGCAGGACAGCCGGGTGTCAGGTTGTATGTTTGAGCCGGGCCGCGTGCAGAAATGGCGAGGACATGGCTTTTTAGGCACGAGCCTGGAAAGTGGCGTCGACTTTTCCATTGTGCTATTGTTTGAATGAGGCGCTTTTTGCTTTCGGGCTTAAAGAGCAAGTTAACCTGCTTGCACTCGAGGCTCCGACCTGATGTTTGCTTTTACCTCACCGTTTACTTTCATGTCCTCAGCACTAAAATAGCTTTCCAACCAGTTCAGAGTTTTCTATTTGTATAAAGCAGGTCTTCGCTTCCGTTTTGTTTTGCGGACATGAATAATCTTCATTTTCCTCTCTCCTATGAAACGAAGTACCTCTTTCCTTCTAGTAATAATGAACACAGCTTGTCGGCTTTTCATTTGCTTTCAGCCTTTAGCAAAGCGCAGCGCCACAGTTCCCTCAATCAATCACAAAGTGTGTGCATTGTGCTGCGAGGGGAAACATTTGTTTACAATTCCTGCTTTTCTTGTCTTTGAACTTAATACGTTTGGAGTTCTTGGTGTGGCGTCATTCCACTGACGCAGCAATGCATTTTAAGCGGTAAAAGATAAGGGCCATACAGGTAAATGAGCAACTGAAGGAAGTACTGCAGTTAAGGAGAAACAAGAGGTGAAACCAGTCCCGAAATTAAGCCCCTGCTCTCCTCCTTTGGCTGTAATATTTGTGCTTGATCTCACATTAAAACGCAGACCCTGTGGGTCTACTAGCTGATTTATTTCCACCTTATCCGATCGGCCTTTCGTGGATTTCCTTGCATTGTTGCGCCGTAAAATAGGCTCTTCATGGTGTCCTCATGCCGCGTTGGGCAAACACGGCCACAGTACAAACAAGCAGTGAGCTGAAGAAGAGCGCTGCTAACGACCCCCCCGAATACCCCCCCCCTCAACCCCACACACACACACGCCATTCTTCCACTTCTGGGAGTTGTGACATCCATTTTACCTGTGAGTCATCAAGCAGCCTCCAGGTCCACGATATGTGAAATACCTGTAGTGTCCACCTGCAGAGTGAGTTTCACCTGGGCCCGTTAGTGCTTTATTCCTAAATGGAGTCTTCCGTAGAGACGGCATCCCAGATCCTCACCGAGCTCGTCTAGACCATCGATCGATCGGCCCAAACGGTAGCGGCACCAAAAAGAATTGCTTCTGCTGTGTGAAATATGTCCCATTGTCCTGGAGAGGAGGATGGATTTGGTCTTTGTTTCAGGCGAGGTGGGCACCTCCCCAAATTAAAACATTTTGTGAAAGCATAGCATGAATAATAGACTTCAGTTGATTCGGGGCTTTACTGGTTTGTGTCTTTCAGTGACGTCTTTGCACGGTGGAGCTTTGGTGTTCTTTTAAAAAGCTTGTTTTTCTCCTTCGATTTGAAAAACGCTTCCTGAAACTTCTCCGTCATCCACACCAACGCTGGAACACGCCTCCATACGGCCTTTCGAGCTAGTTGGGGAGGTGTCGTCTCCAAGCTTCTCCTCCTCCACACAAGTTGCTTTCCGGGGGAGGTTGGAGGGGGGGGGCACAATAGCGAGCCAGTGTTATGTTTGTGACGCGGGTTAATTTTAGACGCAGCCCTCTCCCCGGACTGAGATTAGGTCCCGTTCTGGGCTGCTCTGACCTCAGAGAGTTAGGGAGCTAAGAGGGATTTGGCCGCTGCTGCTCAGACGGTTTATCTCCCCCGTGGATGTCAACGGGCCGTGCGAGAAAGGGAGAGCAGAATGAGAGAGCAGCAGAAGATCGGATACCGGCGGGGTGAATGAGTGGGGTTGGGTGGTTGTTTGGACAGAGCCTCTGCCAGCGACCCGGTTGTTTCACCTAACAGAACTTGTGTGGAGTTCATGCCATGATGGTTAGTGCTGGTCAGCAGAACATGCGAGGACGGGTCGGCTCGACTGATCTAGAGATGGAGTTGGCTGACGCCGATGATATTCAGGTAAGGCAGGAAGACCACTGGGACCCAGGTGCTGTGTCTTGCCGGCTTCATCCCCTATTTTTGCCGTCCTCTCCTCAGGCAGTTTCTGTTCTACAGTCGCCCTCTAAACGGAGGCCAATTGCATTCCAGTTAAATATATAAAGTTAGGTGTGACTAGGAGGCTTTCAGCGGGTACTTTTTCATTGTGTCTGTGAATTTGGTTGTCTGAATAAGTTTAATTACGTTACGTAACTGCCCTTTACACTAAGAATTCCTCCGTAATATAAAAGGTAACAGCTGTTGAACAACTATATATATTTGAGAAATTATTATTATTCGGGTAGAAACAGGAGGCCGGTCTCTGTTTGTTTGGGTTTGCAATTTGGATGAAGGTGCGGCGACTCCTAGGGAGAAATGTTATGGTTCCAGAGAGCGGACCATGTCACTCCATCAAAATGATTTCTTATTCTCCAGCAGCATATTTGCGAACCGAATGGGTTCTGAGTTCATATTCTGTGATCAAACAGTGGATTACAAGCAGTGCGCCTTTGTATCCATGCTGAACTTTAAAGCTGAAGCCATTCGGGAAGTGACCTCTAATCCCTCTTTAGTTAAGGTGAAGGCTTTGAGAATGCAAGTCAATGGTGCCTGACGGCAGCAGTGAAATGACCGTGTGCCGAGGTTCGCTTCAGTTCAAAGCCCTCCACCACAGGGGGGTGGTACCCTGGCCGGGCCGCCGCCGTTACACCTCCTATTTGAACAGAACATATCGTCGGTGCATCCGAGTTGGTGTTTCATTATCAGGAACTGATACTGCTGGAGGAAAGTGTCTCTGGTGCTTCTCCTCTTATTTCTGCCTCACGGCTGTCAGTAGCACAAAACGTGACTGCATTGTTCTAATGAGGTAATGGCCCCTAATGGCGGTTGTAAAATGTTGTTGGTTGGTGTTGCGGTATATATTGATACTTCCTGCTGATTAGTCGGCGCTCAAATAATTCCAGTTTCCTTGTTGACTGAGTCACTGACCTGTCGGTCCTCTCCTCCTCTTTCTCTAGTTCCCCGTTTGCCTCTTCCTTCTGTCCCTCCCATGCTGATCTCCTCTCATCTCGTATGTTTTACCCCGCTCCTCCCTCTTTCAGGGGGATTCCAGGGGCCAGCTGGTGGCGGAGCGACTCGGTCTGGGTCACAACCTGGATCTGTCCGACACGATGGTTCAACAGAAGCTCGACGAGATCAAGGAGCAGATCCGACGGGAGATCCGTAAAGAGCTGAAGATCAAAGAAGGCGCGGAAAATCTCCGAAAGGTAAAGTCACTGAATTCTCAAAGCGTTTGGTCATATACTCCCATCTCGTAGAGACAGAGAGAGAGAGAGAGACATCAAACTTCAAAATCAAAGACGTTTTGATTTGACCCCTTTTCTCCATCTGAAAAGTCCCATCTGCTGGTATACTGGCATTCTTATGGACCTTTTCCTTTTTTCTTCCTACCTTTAGGTTTTTGATGAATTGACACTCTTCTCTCCTCTCAGGTAACCACGGACAAGAAGAGCCTGGCTTATGTTGACAACATGCTGAAAAAGTCTAACAAGAAGGTTGAGGAGCTTCATCAGGAGCTGCAGGAGCTCAACGCCCACATAGTGGTCAAAGACCCCGAGGAACTGCTAGGTAATGACAGAAACATTTCATGTGGTGAACAGTGACCACGTAGTATGGACAGGTTATTATTTTTTAGATTAATAGGATAACAGCATTAAAAAAGGCTTTATTTTCCACCCTTTATTCTAAACCAGAACTGCAAATTCACACTGCAAAAAGACTTCAGAAAGTCCACAAACAGGTTGCTCCTTCAACATAATCATTTCTAAAAAATAAAGAAAAATTCAAATAATTAACAGGATAATCAGAACTTGTTCTGTAGACTACACTCACAGAAGCTCATACTCAAACGCTCACACTCAATACACTCATGCCTATTCATTAAATTATTACCATCAGTGCAAGTTAAGTAAATGTATACACCACATTTAAGTACAGCAAAACAATTGCCAAGTGCTATGAGATGAAATGGCATTAAAAAGTACACACACACACACACAAATATATTTGTCAACAATAACATGAGACGGAGCACAAAATATATACATAGCAACTGATTGAAAAATGAATGGTCCAAAAAAGGCGAGTAAATAGAATGCGTCTTTTAGTATTGCTAACTGCTTTACTGCTGTTATTAGCGAGCTAACGCTAGCTTGATCTGCTGGATGACGAGTAAACAGCAGCAGCAGCAGCAGAGCTGCTGGAGGCTCGTTACTTCCTCACCTCAAAAGGGACAACGTGGTGCTGCCGCGCCGCGTTACGCTGACTTTGCATATTTTGCTATTGACACACGTTAGTTTATTCAGTGTGAAATGCTCGCACGCCGTGGACGACTTGAGTCGAACAGACGCCTCTGCCTGCGTCATGTGACTCACAACAACCGCCGGCGCTGCTGGCTGCTCTTTCCTCTACGTCAGCTCGCCTCTTTTTTTTCTTCTTTTTTCCGCAACTCATCGAGCGATGTATTAATCACGCGACACAACGAATCGATAATAAAATTTTGTTGCCAATCCTTTTAATAATTGATTTTTATTGATTCGTTGTTGCAGCCCCACATCTTTGTTGTAGTTGTGCTCTTTAGTCCTTGTATCCAATCATTGAATTCATGTTAATTACATATTGCTCAAATACAGTAGTTGAAAGTCTTTCTCTATTTTATTTCACCTCCTCTGGCATTAAAAAAAGCAGCTTAACACAGTTTATTTGATTTGCAATGACAGTTTGTTGCTGTTGTAAAGAGATTTCATTGTGAGCCATAAATTTACTTTCTCCAAGTGTCCAAGCAGCAGCTTCTCCTCCAAATATTGCCATCATATCTCTATCGTTCCTCCCCGTCCCTCCTTTTTTTTCTCTTCTTTCTTTTGTAAAGACAAAGTATCGCTGAGTAAATAGCTTTGTCAGTGTTGTGTCAGAACAACTCCTTTATGAACACACTGAGCACACTGCGTGTTCGGAGGTGACTCACTCTCCAGCGGCTGACATTGTTGCATTCCGCATTCCACCGACGGTTACAATGAGCCGTCGATTGTTCCTGGCCGGGCCGCTGAAAGCCTGCTCCTGTGCACTCGTCGACAACAATGGCACTCGCAGCGAGTCACCCGCAGCACGATGTAGTTTCGTTACAGCCGTTGCCTTATGCGGCATTACTTCTTGCAGGGTGTCTGGGTGCATTCAGGAAGAGAGGGAATGGTGTTTGTCTGCCTGCTGCCCCCCCGGCTCAGTTGACAATAGGAAGGAGATCGGGCGGGCGGGGGGGTTGGAGCGAGGTCATCTTGGTTAAGGGTTATCTTAAGTGGGAACAAATTTAGTCCGTCTCGCTGACTCTCTCAATTTGATGAACGAGTGCCTTCTTTTTAAATGACGCGACGTCAGCGGAATGTCGCTGCCTGTCGCTGGATGACGGAGCGGGACCGAGGGCTGCTCGGCTCGGCCCGGCCCGGCCCGGCTCAGCGACAGGCGGTAATGGTTTCCCCAACTCGTAGGAAGGATTTGTTTGGCCTCTGCGAGCTGCTAGAATGTGTTTTTGTTCCATAAGGGGGCTTCTGGTTATGCTCCGCCACTCAGCGGAGGCCACAAATGGAGCGACTCGCTCCCACGTGCTGCCTGCCAGCGGCGGCTCTGATGCAGGCTCCTCTGGCACATATGATCTCACTCGTAAGGACACCTGCACCAAGATCAGTGGGCCGCTCCCTGGTTGCTGAAGCCCGATCAGATATTGGTCATTCTGACTCAAAAAGCTCCATCGTGTCAAACGGGGCTGATCTATTCAATTAATGTTTCTATGCTTAATACATTAGAGACTGGATGTTTTCTATTCCATTGTTGTAGTGGATCATTGTATCCCTATCGCTGATTTTAAAAGTACAGTCATCAAGTATCATCTCAAATGGCCAGAACACCCAGCGCAGTTTTCTGCTCGGCTCTCCAAACCAGGATGTGATTGCTGAGTGTTGTTGGCGTGTTCCTCGGTGGCCTTCTCATCGGATGCAGATGGGGTCAGTTGGAGGGAGGATTCCCCTTGTCAGCTGTCCAGCGGTGACATCAGCCCCGCAGCTATTCAGTAGCTCACTGTCTTGTCTTCTGTCCCAGCGTGGGCTGAACTGCTGAGAAAGGCAGTGGGGGGGAATCCTTTTGGATTCTAGGGTCAATATGGCCTGAACCAAGCCACACCCCCTACACGCAGAGAGGAAGCCCCCCCTCCCGAAGGTAGACACGTGTGCTTCCTAGAGGGCCTTTTGTCCTTTTCAATAACAACCTTCCCTTGAGGCTCACGTAATGTATCGCTGAGACGCTACAGACTCTTGAATAAGAAATGTGGATCCTGTAAACGCTAAATTTAGCTTCGCCCCGAGTCCCTTTGAAATCCTCCCCTCGCGCCACAGGCTTTTCTACCCGTGTGCGGTTTGGATGAGAATCTTTAAGTTGTGTGTTGTCGGCTCATTAAGGGTCACTAGATGAATCGTTTAGACTTCAGCTGTAGGAGTTGCTTGCTTCCTTTTTGCCTACTTTCCGCAGGTGTTCAAAAGAATCCATAAACAATATTCTAATGAAACACTCAGAATGACTGAATCACAAACCCGTCTGCTGGTTATTGATATCTGTGTTTGGCTGCGTGATTTTCCTCGCTGCTGTTTTTGTTAACGCTATTTAGGCTCAATTAGTGGAACAAGACTCCTTGAGGGAAATTTATATTTCTGCTTGAGGTCTTTGTCATGTGACTCATTGGACTTTAAAAATTCAGAAGCGAATCGAGCTGAATTACTTTGGGTTATATTACTTGCATAGTGGAGCTGCTATTTAGTGAGTCCTGGTGAGAGAATGTCATAGTTTTAGTTCCGGATGCGGCATTTGCTCTTCGAGGCCTTTCTTAAGAGCCGTTGCTTCATGACACCATACAAAGACCGGAGCTGCAAGTCAAGTCAGGAGAAGTTAGGCAGGTTTTTTCTTTGCCCACTTTACCTGTGTGAAAATGTTTTTGGCTCTGTCCCGCAGTGATTAGCCCAGGGAGGGGTTTCCTTTACACCTTTCGAGTCCAGACACGACCGAAAAGCAAAAAAAAAAATAGTGAGCTCATCTCCCAAAACTGTGGTCCAGCTCTGCGCAGAGGAGACGTTTATTTTGGTTTGCACTTTATGTGCGTGAGAATTCACGGGACACTTAAAAGCTTAAATAGAAATCCGCTCATTGACTGCAAAGTTTGTCATTGTTTTCGAGGTAAGTGAGTTATTACATCACATCGATATGTCCTGATGAATTTATTATGTTTACTAGTCTGCATGTCGACACTTGTTTGTTTTTCCTGTGACTGGGAATAGAGATGACTTTATGTCAGACTCCTGATCCAAATGTTGGCTTGTGTGGTTATTTCTATATTGAGAGTATATCAGTAGACCTTTCTGGATACATCATGTGACTACTGAAGTCATTAGTGCCGCAGAACTTCAAACTGACTGTTAAAAAATAGCACATCCTTCCTATGGTGCTATTTATAGTAAGTGCATATTTGTGACACTCCGTTGGCACATACAAAGTGACGTATCCGGGTCAATAAGTTGAAACTTGTCCTTTTTTGTTTTTGCCTTTCCCTAGAATGCCCTTTGACCCCAGACACGCCAAACAGTGAGGCGAGAATGTGCACCAGCAGCAGCCGCCTCGCCGCCCTGAAAAGACAGAACGACATTGAGCTCAAGGTCAAGCAGGGTGCAGAGAACATGATTCTGATGTACTCCAACGGGCCCTCCAAGGTACGGTTCACAGCGAGCGGCTTCACTGTGAAGTGGACGGATAATCACTGCCTCATTAAGCGACGTAGGTTTGGCTTCGGTGTGACATCACCACCAAGACAGAATTTGGCAATAAAACTCAGTAGTCCACAACAAAGGTGTTGAATAAACCTTAACGTGAATAGTAAAGTTAACGTCTAAACTATCGGGTTTGAAAATTCATTCAGTTTAGAAAAGAAAGCGGCACATAAAGTTCTGTGTCCTGTGCCAGTGTCTGTCCGACCTGCCCCTCACATTGCATGATATCCTCCCCCTTGTTCGATGTGATCTATCAAAAGAAACGTCGACAAAATCTTCTCCGGAAGGAAGGTTTCAGTCGGATGCTTTCCCCGTCTCCTGACATGTTGGGTTTATCTTGCGACCCTAAAAGTTGGGAACCATTGTTTCAAATGAATGGATTCTGATAAGTGCCCTCGTTCACTTGCTGTCTGGTTGTTTTCTTTTCCCATTTGACCTCTTTGGTGCACATGCGATCATAACTGGTCATGACTGATAATATACCATAATGATATTTTCTCCAATGGGGCATCAGCCTGCCGGCAGTAGGCCGGGGAATGGAGGAGCCTGAGGTCCTGACTGGGTCAGCTTGGCTTCCACCACTGCTCTCCTCATGGGGCGGTTTGGTCCTGCAGGTCCGTCTGGTCTGCCGGGGGCCGTTGGTTGGCTCAAAGTCTGCTGCGCTTAATCGATTTCCCCCCACGGTTGCTTTTGCCATTAGGGCTGGCAAAAAAAAACCAATAAATCCCGACAGAAATGTAGCAGAATTCATGGGAGCATCCGACCGTGGAATGCTCATGCGCCTCATGATAATCCCAATGATTATTCATTTATTCCTTTTATTAGAGTCTCTGTATGTTAAAGGCTCCCAGCCATGTTGCTCTGCTTTCCCAGCTTGGCTGTAGGGGAGGAGGAAACCCGAGAAGGCGCTGACACATCCTGTGTGTCACATGCGCCGCTGTTTGTTCACTGAGCTCTCTGTGGCTCCTCTTAATGCACAGAGTGGGGAGGACGATCATTTAGCTGGTAGCTCGTGTGTACGTTACCAGACCAATAACAACAGCTGGAGCGCTGAGGGCCGCTCGCCGCGGCTCACGTGTCCTTAAACAATTTAAGCCACTTTGTAGTAGACGGTTCAGTGTGGTGTTGGGCTTCAGTAGTGAGTCTCTTATTTTGCCTGTGAGGTAATTCAAAGAGCGACATTCTGTTTAAAGAAATAATGACATTGATGGAAATGATTCTCTTTCTCAGCGACAGTTGGATGAGATTATTGAATAGAAGCCTGGAATAAAAATCTGCACCGAGCTCCCATATCTAACTTTCCTTTAATTGGAAACGTGCGCCAAGGCGTGACCAGTTTGAAATGAACAAGACAATTTTGAAAAGACTCAAGAAGGGTTACGATTACATTTCTAATAATACATTTTGATGTTTAACTTGAGTTCATGTCATATCTAATTAAAGCTGAACATAAGTCCTTTTTAAATCCGCTCTTTAACTCAAAGGTTGTCGCGCTTTGTTGAGAGGTGGAGCGGTGTAGCTGCAGAGTGTAGAGCTGTCGTACAGCCACCGGATCCCCGCGACCAGAAGGTGCTTCTGTCTGACCGAGGTCGCTTACAAAACACTCTGACCTGCCGGTCAGACAGACGGAGCTTTCCAGCTGGAAATAGTTCTGATGTCAGAGAGGAAATGCCTGCTGGACAGAGGTCTTTCCTGCGCAACAACCAGGATTTAAACTTTAGAGAGGTGTGTGTGTGTGTGTGTGTGAGCACAAAATAAGATTCCGCTTTTTGATGAATACGATTTTCCATGTTGTCACCCATTCTTTGGCTCCAATTAAGGGCATGATCTGGCGTCCTGGCTGTTTGTGTTACTTGCTCTAAACACAATAAGTGGTGAGGGATACTGTGCTGACATCCAGTTATTTACTTTTTATTGAAGACAAAACACTGACTTTTTTTGATTCCAGCGTTATTATTTAATGTATGATTTTTAATGTGTGCCATTCCCCCACCGACAGACATTTTAATTTCATCATCTTTAGGATCGTAAGTTGCTAGCGACCGCACAGCAGATGCTTCAAGACAGCAAGACGAAGATAGAGTTCATCAGGATGCAGATCCTCAAGGCCAGCCAGGCCAGCGAGCTGAGCTTCGATAACAACGACGTGATGGGTGAGCCTCCGCTTGCACCCACTGATGGAGTGCAGCAGTTGGCCTGCGCCGACCTCGCGGGCCTGCATGAGTATGGTCTTACGAACGATGGCGTCTAAATGGAAGGATCCTTTTCTCCCTTGTCCTCCAGACAAGCCCATCATCAGCCCGCTGGACCTTCGGGTGGAGGAGCTGTGTCACCACGCCAAGATAGAGTCCGCCGTGGCGGAGGGAGCCAAGAACGTCATGAAACTCCTGGGCACGGGAAAGGTCACAGAGAAGAAAGCCCATTCGGAGGTAGAGTTTGTGTTTGCGTGTCTGTATGTGTGGGTGTAAGTGTTGTAATGTTGTAGAGCGGCACTTATGATTGGCGTTTCTGTCTCTTTCTACCGTTCTCAATTGCCTCCCACCCTTCTATACTCCCTGCGTGCGTACCTCCCTCCTTACCACCTCCACCTCCAGGCCCAGGCTCGGTTCAATGAGTCCAGCCAGAAGCTCGACCTCCTGCGGTATTCCTTGGAGCAACGCCTCAACGAGTTGCCAAAAAACCACCCTCGCAGCAGCAGCATCGTGGAGGAGTTGTCCCTGCTGTCCTCGCCGGTCCTCAGCCCCAGATCCAGCATCATTGCCACGCAGAACCAGTACAGCACGGTGACCAAGCCAGCTGCCCTCACAGGTAACTGGACCACAGACGCAGTCATGGTCATTGGTAGCACGCTGGTCATTTGAGGTAATAAACGCTTGTGATCTTCCAGCCTCGTCCTGTTCTTCTTGACCACCGAACCGTAAATATATATATATATATATATATATATTGAAGTGTGGCTAATAGAAGTTAGCATGTCTATTCGTTTCAGTCAATTTTTCTCATGGGTATTTCCTTTAGGGCACAATAATAATAATAACGTGCAGAAAGAGATCCACAACATCAGTTAATCTTGCTAAGCTGCCTGGTTTATAGGATTCATGAGATATGAATTTCTTTTTGTCAAAACATTTCTTACTCTACCATCTCGATGTCCATGATGTTGTTTGATTTTATAAGATCCTTGTTGTTTGGATGAAGCGTCCCTCCCTACCAGTTAGTAGATTCAAACAGAGACAGGTCACTTCTCGTTACTACCTGTCCTGCTCATGTTACCCAAATTTCAAATATATTGACGAGTTGTGGTGATAAAATAGGAAAACTGGACAGCTTTGAAGGAGTCTGATTGTGTGCTACGGGTATGTGACTCTTTCCTCCTCACTTCCAGGCACATTGGACGTGAGGCTCATGGGCTGTCAGGACCTTCTGGAGAACGTGCCCGGTCGTTCCAAAGCTGCGTCTGTCCCGCTGCCCGGCTGGAGTCCCAGCGAGACGCGCTCGTCCTTCATCAGCCGAGCCAACCGGAACCGCGGCGTGAGCTCGCGGAACCTGACGAAGAGCGAGGAGCTCTCCAGTGAGTAGATCGGCACCGGCCGGGAAGATGAAGAGATTGAAAAGCAGATCTGCGATTACGTTGAGATGCACAATAAATAAATCGCAGCCGGATCATGATGGGAAAATTTCTCGTCTGTAAAACCAACTGAATTCCTGTCACGCTCAGGGCGTAATTAATAGATGGGTGGTTAATAAATAACGCGCTGTGTGTGTTTCCTCAGATGAGATCAGCGCAGTGTTGAAGCTGGACAACACGGTAGTCGGCCAAACAAGCTGGAGGTCTGTCAGTAACCAGGCGTGGGACCAGAAGTTTACATTGGAGCTGGACCGGGTAAAACACACGACACACACTTCTGCCCCCGACCCTCACCTGTGCTGTTGACTCGGCGTCGTGTTTGAACAACACATTCGGGCTGTTTCACATCGGTTTGCGTGTGTCCCGTAGTCTCGCGAGCTGGAGATCTCGGTGTACTGGCGCGACTGGCGTTCGCTCTGCGCCGTCAAGTTCCTGCGGCTGGAGGACTTCCTGGACAACCAGCGTCATGGGATGTGTCTGTACCTGGAGCCCCAGGGGATGCTGTTTGCTGAGGTGGGCACAAACTCGCATACACACAAGTTGTGTGGGTCTACAAATTACTCTTTTTTTCCCTAATGTGCACAATGTTTCCGTGTTTTTTTTTTTTTGTACAGGTGACGTTTTTCAATCCCGTCATTGAGAGACGACCAAAGTTGCAAAGACAAAAGAAGATTTTCTCAAAGCAGCAAGGTGGGTCTTCATTCAACATCACCTCACACTTATGTTAGGTCTTCTAATGTGACTCGGACTCTTGCCAGATACATCTCTTATGAATTTTTGGGGGATTGAAAGATTTCCATGTAATATTGACATCTCCTCTGCTTCTCTCCGTCCTTTACATGCGTCATCGCCTGTTCGCTCCTAACCAGGTAAAACCTTCCTGCGAGCCCCTCAGATGAACATCAACATCGCCACCTGGGGCCGCCTGGTGAGAAGAGCCATCCCCACCGTCAGCACCAACTCCTTCAGCCCGCAGGCGGCAGAGACCGGGCAGAGCAGCCTGCCCGGGTCACCCACGCCCTGCAGGTACTAACGGACACGTGCTCGTACTTAGGGTCTCACCCGATGAACGACTCGCTCCAAAACTCTGAAAAGGCGATTCCAATAAACAAGTCAAGTACTGCTGCTAATTCACAGTGACCCGCTGGTGACCAAGCTGGACTTTGACAAAGAGCCGACCCCAGGACCCAAACACTACGAGGCACCCGACGACATCCGGGAACCGCTGGTCCAGGATAAGCTGCCGGACAAAGAGGAGGAACAGGTACCACGGCCCAGGAATCACTGTTACTGCTCACTTATGTCAGAGGTATTCATGAAGTTCGCTCAGGAGCTAAACCAAACAATACACCATTTTTGGCCCCTGTCTTCTGATTAAATACATCCACATCATTGTTTTCCATTATGTATGTGCCCCTGCAGATGAATGGAGTCAGTTCTTGCTCCAGTGATTATCAAAGCATATTAGAATAATTATTGAGAAACAACAGATGCAGCTGTAATTTTCACGTAATGAATAATTCTCTTCATTTTGTGTCCTTGTGCTTTGGGTTCCCTCTCTGCAGGACGCGCTGGCCTCCTTTGACTTCCTGAACAAGAGGAACAGCATGGCGGTGAAGCCGGACCAGGACGGACTGCTGGAGCAGGAGATGCAGCATCCGGACCTGGAGCTCATCGCCATCCCGAAAGACTCAGAAATAAGGTATCGGAGCCGCCTTTTTAAACCTTCAAGTAGATTTCAGATAAAGAAAAAGGAACATTAAGATATTTCATTTTAGCCGTGTGGGTCACAGTTATTACTTTTTGACACCATCTGCTCAGACCTACTCTTATGACACGCGGGTGTAAACACTGCCCCCTGGCTTTGAGTCTTTAAACTGTCATCTCAACAATAATTCCCAAAGGATACTAATATAAACAATGATAATTGTGCAGGGAAGAAGATCCGTTCCACTTCAGCCTCAAAGACTTCAAATGTGTGGCGGTCCTCGGCCGTGGTCACTTTGGAAAGGTTCGTCTCATTTGATCACCCAACCGAAGGCTGCATCTTTTCATTAAAAATGTTCCCTCCTTGATTGTATTTTCAAAACAAATGCCAGGAAGTAGTAAAATAAGATTGTATTTCAGATTTCTAGGGTTGATGATCGCGTCGCTTGTTAACATAAGTTTGTTAATCAAATGAGAAGCGTCAAGTCGTCATGTTTCAGAAGCTGTGACTTGCTTCCCCTCCCCAGGTGTTGTTGGCAGAATATAAAAGCACAGGTGAGATGTTTGCTATCAAAGCGCTGAAGAAAGGAGACATCGTGGCTCGCGACGAGGTGGACAGGTAAACGCTGTAAACGCCCCGCTTAATCGCGACATGCTCGGGAAACGCCGCCGCAACTCACACCTCCTCTCTTCTCCCTCTGCCAGTCTCATGTGCGAGAAAAGGATCTTCGAGGCGGTCAACAGCGTCCGCCACCCGTTCCTGGTCAACCTGTTTGCGTGTTTCCAGACGCAGGAGCACGTTTGTTTTGTCATGGAGTACGCTGCGGGAGGAGACCTAATGATGCACATCCACGCGGACGTGTTCTCCGAGCCGAGGGCCATGTGAGTATCTGAACCCGCACGATAGGACCTGTGTGTGTGTGTGTGTGTGTGTGTGTGTGTGTGTGTGTGTGTGTGTGTGTGAGATCTTGTATCCTGACCGCTCTTGTTTCCGTGTAGATTTTATGCAGCCTGCGTCGTATTGGGATTACAGTTCTTACATGACCATAAGATCGTGTACAGGTGAGGAGTTTGAGCAGAGCCATTAAGTGAAGTGCCACGTTTGCGTGGAGCATAAAGTTCTCAAAGGACCTTTTTGAATTTGCAGAGATTTGAAGCTGGATAACCTCCTCCTGGACACAGAGGGCTACGTCAAGATTGCTGACTTTGGGCTTTGCAAAGAAGGTAAAATGGAGACCCATGTTATTCTGAAGGCAGAACACTTGTAGATTAGACAAGAACGTCTCTGGACGAATATCAAGTGACGTAGAAAATAAAAACGAATGTCCTGAATATGCTCAACATATCAGATTTCGGTGTTCCCAAACAGGAGAAATCTGGACTGTTTTCCGGGGATAGGCCTGTTATTAAAGTGTGTGTGTGTGTGTGTGTGTGTTGCTCTCAGGAATGGGCTTCAAGGACCGCACCAGCACGTTTTGTGGCACGCCGGAGTTTCTAGCACCTGAGGTTTTGACCGAAACGTCGTACACTCGCGCTGTGGATTGGTGGGGGCTGGGCGTCCTCATCTTTGAGATGCTGGTTGGGGAGGTCAGTGCTCCTTCAACCATCTGTGATCGATGGAACAATCATCCAGTCACTTGGCCCAGTCGCATGCTGTGATTTCTGCTGACTCTTGTCATGTCGTCCTAACCTTTCGTTTTGGCTCGTCTTTTTTTCCCCTCAGTCGCCCTTCCCCGGCGACGACGAGGAGGAGGTGTTTGACAGCATCGTCAACGATGAAGTCCGCTACCCACGATTCCTCTCGACCGAGGCCATCTCCATCATGAGAAGGGTGTGTACTGGTAATCTGAAGAAGAAAGAGTTGGTCTAAAGTCGTGCAATAACAGCCAGTTAACGTTCCGCTTCACTATTATCTCGCCGTGTGCTTCTTCTCTGCGCAGCTTCTGAGAAGGAATCCGGAAAGACGACTGGGAGCAGGAGATAAGGACGCCGAGGAGGTTAAGAAACATCTTTTCTTCAGGGTAAGAAACAAAAACAACATTTGCACAATGCATTTCGTAATAAAGGAAAAAAACGAACTAACTGGACCCCCTGTGTTTCCCGGCAGAACATGGATTGGAACGGACTTTTGGCTAAGAAGGTGAAGCCGCCCTTCGTGCCCACCATTCAGGGCGCCAACGACGTCAGCAATTTTGACGACGAATTTACCTCAGAGGCTCCCATCTTAACCCCGCCCAGGGAACCCCGACCGCTGAACTCGGACGAGCAGCACATGTTCTCTGACTTTGATTACATCGCTGACTGGTGTTAGCTTCACGCAGCTTCACCCCCCAAACACTCACACACACTGTGAACCAACCAACCAACACAGCAATGGCTGTAGCTCACGTCAGTTTTAAAGCCCAGAATGTTGAGGAGGAGGAGGAGCAACGAGTGCGGCGGCTCCCCCGAGCCTTTGGGGCAAAACTCTGTGCCATTGAGAAGAAAGTCCAGCAGCCTCTAGAGGACCCCCACTTATTTTTTTAAATCCATATGAAGAACGTTTCTTTTTTCTTTTTCTTTTTTAACAAAACGGGAAAAAAAACGAAAGCCTGTTGGAGAATGAACGAGGAGGAGCGCTTCTTCCTTCCTGCACACTCGTTGTGTCCGTTGTCTGACCACTGAGAATGTTTTTCATAAGAACTCTTGAGCAGACGTCACAACCATGTTATTCAGTGTCCCTGTCGTCGGTTTCTTTTCTTTTTTTAAATCTGTACAGATTATATTCAGTCGTATATATTTTATTTTCTTTATTTTGCAAAAGCCCTCGTCATGGATTTAAGGACATTTAATCTCACTGTACATTTTGAAGTGCTCAAAGCATTGTCACTGAGCGGTCGACCATACAGACACCTCGACTACTACTGCTGCTTCTTGACTTGAAATCAAAGAGGGTCTTCACCCTTTTTGTCTCGGGGCCCAATCTTTGTTCACCAACTGTTTTAACTTTTTTTTACAACAACCCACATAATAATAATCGTAACGATAATACTCTTTACTATAAAACCGTAGTCCAGTGTTAAATGTGACCTACGCTGTTAAACACACTACTCTTGTGGGAAATCAGATGATTACATAAGAGCGTTGGCCAGAAGAAATTATGAATATTTAATATTCTCCTCTGTCTGATGCCCTCTCGTGGTGTTGTAGATTTTCAGTTGACCTCAGTTCTAAAAATCTTAACTGCACCTTTGTATTGCAGTATCTTTTGGAGCAATAAAATCAAGCATAAAGTAAATTATTATTTTAGAGCGGAGTACAGCTGGATGTCAAATGTTTTCCATTTCGTGGGAGTGAAGGGCTCGTTTCTAAATGGACATCTGGTTGTGAAGCTGAAAGCCTTTTTCTTGTTACCTCAGTCAAAGTGAAAACATCAGTGTTTTGCCGTTACAAGCTATCAAAACCAAATGAATCCTGTCCGTCTTGAAGCAGCAGACAAATCCCTCGTGGTAAGAAGTATCTGATTGATGGACTGAACCCAATGAAGCTAAGACTTGTTGTGCAGAAATCCATAACAAAGCCTAAGCTGTTTTTTGGGAACATACATAATTCAGTTATTCCAGCCTACTGTCTAAATGTAATTTAAATGCTTCTCAGTTGCATTTTTCAATCTGACCGAGAAACCAGTGGTTTTATGTTTAGTCAATTTGCATTATATAAAAAGTGACTCGAATAATGGAGAGCTGTTCACATGAATCACTACAGGGGAGGGTATATTATATATACAAACTGTATGAACACAATTAAGCTCAAAGCACTAATTTTATCTAGTTTTAATTATCTACATGTGTTGATGAAAATAGATTGTACAAAGTTTTTTTTTTTTATTTACTTGTGCATGTTGTTGCCAGAACAAAGACTATAGATGGTACAAATACTCGAGTCACACAACTGTTGATCACACCGGTGTAAAAAGAAAAAGGCATTTCTGCAGTTGTTGCCTATCATAAATGCACAATTAAACATTTGTAATCGTGACTTTGCAGTTATTTCTTTCTGGCTATTTTGCCTTTTCTCCACTATTTCAAATGTTGAGTGAGTTGCGATCAAAGACTTGAGTTTATAATCTTTGAATGACGAGAGCAAGAAAACCGGTTTAATTTAAACCATGAACCCATTACCATGCTCGAATGAAAATCTTTTTATTTATTTTTAAATTACGTTGAACAATTCAAACTAACAAAATAGAAGCAGGTAATTTTTCTACAAAAACAAAAGTATTATGTATACAGTATGAAACCAGTCTAAAATTGCAAGCATTTTCCAACTTGGACATATATACATGATACAGTATATACACTCAAATGAAATACTGTAAGTACAGTCTGCAAGCTGATTAAGCGCTGGAATGTGTCCGTTTTATTCCTGTGATGACGCCTCGACAAAGGCAAGCGGTCCTACGAGGGACAAGGGAAAACTTTCCAAACATGATAAAGAAAGAATAGAATCCTGTAAGTACAGCAGAAAAACAGCGTCACCGGAGCTTTGTCTTCACAGTTGGGGCAGCTTGTCGACAGGCGTGTCGAATTTGAAGTCTGGGGGGAAGAGTTCTGCGGCGCGTGGGTAGATGAGTCGGTATGACTGTCTGATCGTAACATCTGCAACGCCGGCAATATCCCCGATTTCTGTGGACACAACGGACACGAGACTCAGCTGCTGAATCCTCCGAAAAACCTACTGCAACTCTCATGTCGCTCAGAGATAAAGAAAGCCGAAATGATGTGATCTCTCACCTGTACCCATTTCCCTTTTAATAGGCTAAACCGCAGGTGTAAAATAAACATTTAACTGCTTCTGCTTTTGTGAGAATTCCCTATTTTCGTTGATACTTTGAAGACAAAGAACCCACACGATACACAAACCATTCTCTCATAAACATTCACCGCGTTGTTGGTAACCCGAGCAGAGGTTTATGTATACTCGAACCATGACAATAAAACTCAAATTAAAGCTTAAATTATTTAACTGATTTACATACACATATGCGGGGAACTTTGATGCATTTTGTTACTTAACATTTAACCGCCTTTTTTTCCTCTGGCCTACAAAGACCTCTACTGCCCGTGTATATGACTTTGATTTATTCATTTATAAATGCGTGACCCGTTGACAGTATAACCAGCGCATCACCACCCACCCTTTTGGGTCTTCTTCTCTGCCGAGGCCTGGGAGGCCATGTAGATCGCCGCTGCAGCCACCGAGATGGGGCTCCTGCCGGGAACCAGGTCGAGCTCCACAGCCTTTCTGGCGATGAAGGTGGCCGCCATCTGCACCTGTTTGGGCAAGCCCAGGTTTGAGCAGAACCGAGACATGAAGTCTCCGGTGGTGATGAGGTCCACGCTGGTCTCCAGCGCTTTCAGGATCAGCTTGAAGCACCTGCCGATCTCCTTCTTGGAGATCCGAGACACGGCACAGATTTCTGCGGAGGGAGGGAGAGACACAGTTCTTTTGGATGGAGTGACGTCAAAGAAATCCCTTTTCTTAATGAATCAACAAAACACTTTTGTTACGTGTTACAATACATTAGGAAAAGAGAAGTACACCAATTGGTTATGTTCATTTGCAAAGAGCGGTTGTAACTAATAATATGGCAGATAGCTCAAGAAGCTGAAATAGTTTATTCTGACCTTTAAATGTTCTTGGTACACCTTCTTGTCTGCAGGCGATGTAGAGACAGGCCGAGGCTATGGCGTCATTGGCTCGGCCCTTCAGGCTCTTCTGTTCATAAACCTGTTTGAATAAGTTGTTTGTTCTGTCCTGCAGAGGAAAAACAGTATTTACAGGTAAATGATTTGCATTACGTGGATTTGCATCCACGTAATGAAAGGTCTGAATGAAACCCTGCCACATATAAATCATCTGTGTGTTTTTTAAATTAGGGATTTAATAGTAAAGCGTGTTTGAGCTTTCTTTTTTAAACAGTGTTTCAATCAGATGTTTATCTACAACAACACGATGGTGAGTCATGACGATCGAGTACGAGTGAGGATAAACCGCGCGTGTGTGTGACTCCTTCAGTTACATTTAATGAATTACAATTTATCATGTTTTTTTAAACTTACGATGATGTTCCTTGGCAGGTTGATGCGATCTGCCATGGTGCTGATTTCTTTAAAGGCGTTGAGCATGGCCCGGTCTGAGCTGCTCATGGTCCGCCGGTTCTGATACTTGGAGTTACCGAATTCATCAAAACTAGCTGCGCCGGTTCCCTGTGGTGAAAAATGGTAAGTGTTTATTATTTGGAGGGACAAGATTTACTGTGGTAAAAACTCACCGCGAGGCTCATTTCTAACAGAGAGCGCCTCACCTTGCTGATCATGGTGGTTAGGTCGCCCCCATTGAGCAGCGGGTTCTGGGCGTCTCCCACTCTGGATGGATCCTTGAGTGCTTTCTCATTGGAGAACGTCCTCCACTCTGAGCCGACGTCGATAACACGGTCACCTGAGGAGAATTTAAAAGAAATGGGATTAAAAAATAAATAGACAATTCAACATTAATAACTTTTTAGGCGTTTGATGGAACTATGATTTATTTTGCACAAGCACCAACACAAGGAACCAAAATGTAGTTAATTGTCCTCGTGGGAGATTGCAACATTTTTTTGCTTTAAATACAGACACTTCATATTTGTAATACATTTTTGTTTGAAGATTTTTACAGTCTGAACTCGACAACGCCCAAAATTAGCTGTCATTAAACGAATTACAATTCTAACCTACATCTGTCCGATTTCTGTGAAATGTTACAACCATGGTAGTTTAATAAAGCGGACACATTTTGTTCAGTCCAGTGAATAATCTGCACATACAAACAAAATGCAGTCACTGTCTTCCTCGATGTGTATCACATCCCTGTGGTTTAATTAAGCAGAAGACGGAGCCTCATGAACACGTCCTCTGAGACTCAAATACTGTAAATATTGTTTGAATCCTCCCGTAGTGGGTTTCATCAGCTCATCCACAGACTTATTCATGTTTTACTACTGTTACATCATCCCCTGCTTTCAGATTGTCTTTTTATCGTTGTTGTCATTGTGAGGCAGAAACACATTATGAAATCTGTACTTAACAAATGTGATTGAATTGCATCAAACCGGAGATGTTCAAAAGGACACTGGGTGTGACAAAGGCGTATTGCTAGTTATCATATTATGTCCATTAGGCTTATTTCTTTTTTCACATACATGACTGGAACATCTCGACGCCACGTGCCATTCGTCTCCTTAGAGGAGAGCTGAAGCTATGGGAGCAGGAACAGAGGGCCCTTCAGCTCGTATCAGAGCGGCTGGCGTCTCGAGTCTCCCTCCTGACCTGGTCTCTGCTCCGGGGGCTCGTTAAAGAACTGCGTGTTCTCTACGGCTTCGACTTTCAGTTAGCATCACATGTTGAAAGGATTATTTTCTTCATATACTTGATATCTGGGCATTTTGTGCTGATATGTTCTTTGCTGACTGAGAAGATCAATTAAAACACGACACAGTTCTTTTAAAAGCTTCATAATGAATTTTCCATGGTCTTCACCATGTCTGTTGCACTTCTATTTAGGTGTGGTCGAAGACGTCGCAGCAACAGAGACGTCAAAGCCTCAATAACATCAACATCAGACAGATCTTCTCTTCAGCAAAATACGCAGTTAGTGGTGGTCCCCTCTCAATATACTCCACATCCACATTTTCACAAACCCAGTACTCTTCACAACTATGCTCTTGTGTGGCAGTAAATAAAAAAGAAATGTCCTATTACAAATGTTAACAGGTATAATACTACCAAACACTAATTCAAACACTGAAAGCTCTATGATAGAAAGGTAAACATGCAGATAATCGTTGTGTATACTGACCTACTACAAGGCCACATTCAGGGCAGATCATGTCCCCTGCTCTGTAGTCCTCCACCAGTATAGTATCAGGGTGGTTGGGACATTGGACTCTTGGAAGGGACAGGCCATCTCCGCTACAAAAGCAGAACAATTAAGTGATCAAACAGCTCGAAAGGCAAGAAAAAGATGGACAGGGGAGGAAAATGTAGGCAGATGGGCTACGTGGTGGATCAAAGAGACAGACAGACAGACAGACAGACACAGACAGACAGAGTTCATGCTGATGCCAGGATACAAAACACAATTTAAAGCTGGTCTCGTCTTCGGAAGCTGGAAAAATAAACTGGTAAATAGTACAGGGAGTATCATTAAAATACATACTGTTACATTGAGCCCTTTAATTTCCTCCACGTTAATGCTTAGAAGAAATACCTGGCAGACTGAAAGCTCAGTGGCCTGAACCTGGTTTGGGCAAAGTCAATATGCAGAGCAGATATTAAGTAAAACATTATCAAAGATTAAAAGAATCAGATGAGCATTAAGCCATGATGGGCTGGGTCATAGGCAGCTGAATAGCATTGAACACTTAACCTTAACTAAATGTTCTCGTTGCTGATAAATCTGATTTTTAATGGTTTAGTGGATGAAATGTAAAACTATCTAACTCAGAAATGTAATTGATGTCTTTAAATTGCCTTAGATGTGAAGTCTACTGCTATGTAGAACAAAATCCTCACATTCATACTGGGCTTAAGATTATTTGGGTTTTAAATTAGAAGTGACATTAAATAATTAAAAATGTATATACATTAAATATTAAGACGATTTATTGAATGATCATTTAAGGAACAATATTGATACAATATGTTTACGGTGACCCCTAAACTAACCCCTGAAAGCCAGTCACAGTGATGTGCGGAAAGCACAACAATCTAAGGGCCTGATATCCGGGACATTACAAACATAATTCCACATTCCCTCCACTATCTACTTTGAATCTACATGTTGATCATAATAAATAATATCCAAACTTCATTCCTTGTTTTTTTTTTGGTTTGTTTTACATAGACGGCTCGTCTACTGCGATATGAGGGCATTTGTGCCCGCTTCAAACTGCAGACGTTAGCATCAACGGTTACCTGTTGACCGTTAGACAGCTAAAGTGTGAAAAAGTGCGAGGCGACAAAAAAAAAATTAAGATACGAAGCGATGTTGACAAAGTTATTAGCAGCACAACGATGAGATAATGTCACGGCACAACAGAGAGTGACTTCTGGCAACACCTAGCCAGCTAATTCGGCTAACGTAGCAAAGCAGCGAAATCAATCTGACAATTTACGGGGACAGAAGGAATTTAAGGCGTACAATTATTCCCGTCTAACTCGATGACGTTAATGAGTTTACATTCTGAGAGCCCACATGAAGAAGGAATAGGTGTAAGGTTTGGTTATAGTAGCTACGCACCGGCTTGTCGACGCCATGTTGCTCCTCAGTCCGCCTCTGTGTCAAAGGAACAATCGAATGCACTACCTCTATTTATAACTTTATCTGATCACATGACCGTAGGAGTACGGAGAGGCATAAGGCTCAAACTAGTCGAGACATTTGTATAACGTTTGTATAACACTGTTTTGTTGTTGAGAGAAAGAGAGAGCCAGAGAGAGAGAGAGAGAGAGAGAGAGAGCGAGATGTCTCATATTCCGGTTTGTAAATTCTATGTCCGTTTGGTAACACTACACGTAAGAACATTTTTTTGAGTACATCCTATATAATAATAATGTGTTTGACTAACCAACAACAAAAAGATGAATCATTTTGCAGCATTCTGAGCGCCTTCTGTGTCTGACTCTGCCAGTTTGTGACTGAATGATACTTCCCACGCCTGTGAAGGAAACCAGACAAAGACACAAAGAGTCACATGTTTTTCTTTAGCTTTTGTGGGAGAAGAATGACAAATCTACATCTGTCTACAAAATATATATCTATGAAGTATCATCTAAAGGTGAATAACACATTATTTATAGCACAACTAACATTTATTTCTTACTAAACGTCCATAGAAATTGAAGTTGACTGGATTACCTAAAAAGTATCATTCAAAAAAGCAAATGTGCATCAGGACGACAGCAGGTGGTGCTAAATAACTGACTCATTACAGTGATAAGATTTCATGGAAAGGTCATTTGGCACTGCTCTCTCTCTCTCTCTGTCTCTCTCTGTCTCTCTGGTTAAACAAACAGAGATGTATTACTTTGAGATCATTCTTGTTTGAGTAGTAATGAGACTCAACCTACCAAGGAGTAAGCAGCATTTTAGCAATCCGTCACCCCCAAATGCTGCATTCTCAAACTCAGTCGTCTCGTCGTTTTGTGAGAAGTGTCCCTGAGACGCATTCACGTATATTTAATGCATGTTTTCTGATACCACTAATGATACAAAACCCTCCTGGGCGGCCTTACTGCACAAAGCGGTGGAAACTGAACTAGCACAAACCGTAACAAGTCACAGCATGAGAGATATCCCTGGCACATCAAACAAAGGCATGTACAGACCAGTATGCCGGTGTCCGATGTGTCCTTTCAAACACACATAAAAAAACATATAGTACTACCACTGTACTAACCACCCCAATCCCTCAGGTTCCCAACTGCACCATCATATTACATCCCATCAGAATCCTTCATTACTATACTGTATGTCAAGTAATAACAAAGGATCCACACGCACAAGCAAATGGCCTGTGCAAACGTCTTGGGTAGTGTGTGTTTTTTTACACACTGATACACACACTCATTTTCCCCACTACATACCAAGGACTTGACCTAAGACTGGATTTCCACAGTCTGTGTGTGTGTGTGTGTGTGTGTGTGTGTGTGTGTGTGTGTGTGTGTGTGTGTGTGTGTGTGTGTGTGTGTGTGTGTGAGACAACTGTTTTTGGCTTATCGTGCTTACAGGAAATGAATTACCATAAACGCATGTTTGTTTGGGTTTGTGCCTTTGGTTTAAAATTGAAAAACTTTGCATTTATTTTATCCTCCGCATATAAAACTCACATTTAAAAACTCCAGCTGATGTTTGTGTGATAATATTCCAGCATATTCTTCCAAATCAGAGAAGAAGGTCCCTGGTGAATTATTTAGAACTCATTGAGGCAATTCTCAACATACTGAATGGGTTGCCAGGGGTATCTGTGGTCCCCAGCTGTTGGCCCCATTACCGTCAGGAAACTACATACTGTCCAACCACTGCGGCCCAGTATGACAACAAACCAAACCATTAAATCTTTATACCTTTTTCCTTCTCCTTACCTGACCAACCACATATCTCGCCGCAGACATGTAAACATTTGAAGGTTAAAGGAATCTGAATCAGTACCATTAGCAGTACAACTAATGCTATTACCACCTAAACTTTACTGCAAATAGTATTTTATCACCAAGTTGTGGAATCGAAAAAGCAGTTTATTTAAACAAGTTGCAAATGCTTTGGTACATCCATGCAAATGATTACGTACAATTATCTGCTGTTTACTACATTATCAATTGCTTATGTCATGTGGATCAAAATGTATTATAATGGGCCTCTGTTGAATAGTCTCACCCAACTACAACATTTAGGCATCAGTTCATAGCAGTCTTTACATTCAAAATGCATGATAATTTGTCAAGCATATTTCTTCTATATTTCCATTAGACGTTTTTCTAAATCTGTCCTAAATTGGTAAATTGCTCACATGTGAATCTTGACTTTATCGAAGGTGCATTTCATGAGCCATCAACGGGCAAGTATATACATAGCCGGAGCACAACACAATGTTACAATGTCTGACAAAGGAAGGACAGGGAATTAGACAGGGTCAACAGCCCGGGAGAAGAAGAAGAGGAGGAAGAGGAGTGCGGCCGCGTGGCGGAGGAGTTGAGATGCAAAGGAGAGTATAAGGCAGAAGAGGCCGAGGACACATGCGTGTTCCCGATGAGATAGGAGCCGCACTTGTGCACACATTATTCAGCCACACAATACAGAGCGTTTTCTCACCCTTTTAAACACTCTCTGCATTTATCTCATCCGTGAACAAGAGAGGGGTAAGATTGGACTTGCCAAAGTATGCGATAGTTTGGGACAATGTAAGTTTGCAACATCATCATCAGGCAATGGTTTGCGACCCACAACAGGATGCCGATGGAGCTCCTCTCACCCTACTCCCCATTCCTTAACCTCATTGAGGAATTCTTGTAAAGTAAAGTATATGATCGCCAGCCACATACACAGATGACCCTTCTGCTGCCATGGAGGCAGCGTGTGATGACATCAGAGCCGATGCCTCCAGAGGCTGGATAAGACACTCTAAAAGATTATTCTCACGCTGCATCGCAAGAGAAGATATTCGTTGTGATGTGGATGAAAATGTGTGGCCCAACAGACAGGAACATCAGGTGGTGCACTGTAATTCATGCAGCACTGCATGTACCGTTTCCTTTAAGGAGATTGTCCTATGTTCACATTTCTACTTTTTTTTTCCTTCGTGCTTTTTTTCCTAGTGCTGTCTTTTCCTCTCGGTATCGCAATGACATGTCTGTCAACAAACAGTAAAAGCGGTAATGTGAATCTTGTCCAGTCTCTTGCAATTAATCTCCCACATACACTAAGGAGTAATTTACAGTTTAAAATCATTTTCATCCAAACTTTAGCCATAGTTTACATCAGAACAGAACCTCCACAGTACACTGGTAAACTGACAACACGACTAACGACTAATTTCTCAAATCGTCGAATCGTCCTTGACTAAATGTCAAGGACGATTCGACAAATCTACCAAACCAACTGATAAAAACTGTAAGTGGGTTCACTTTCACTAATCCAATACTTTTCCCCTTCCTGTTGTCAACCTTGTTATTGTTTGGGATTGTTAAACGGAACCACTACAAACTCAGACTAACTTGCTCAAATCCAAATAAACATTTAGCTCTGTTGCAAAACCACTTTAGTAGAAGAACACAGATCAAATCATCATTGTACTCTCTCTGCATGTGCTTTTGTGGTTACACTCCACCTTCACATCTGATCTTGTAACCTGCCAGACTCTCACATTACACGCCCCACTACCTGCTTTTCTTTCTGTCTTTTCTTCCTCTTACTCTCAAAGTACAAGGGTAGCATGAGAACAGTGTGCCTGCAGCCAGCAGCCCAGGACCGGTTGAAACCTGTATGGGTTGCAACTGAGGAGACACTTCCTCCATCGAGTGCATCATCAACCAAATCCAGAAAGAGCTGGAAATGATGCAAGGCGTCAGCACACAGGGTGTTATTGACTGTTGAGTTTGTCATTACCAATAAGATTGATAGACCGATAGACGGATAGACTGAGAGATAAATAGACGGATATAGAGATAGATAATATGTACAATGTTGCATATGTTAATAATGTTTAGCTCTGCTGTAACAAACACAAGGCATCGTTTATGAAGAGAGCCATGTGCACAAAAAGCAAAAATGTTATTTTTAATTAGGCAGTAAAGTTATTTTAGCACCATGATGCATGTGGTGTCTAGTACTCTGAAAAAGGAGAAGCTTGTGCTGCGTTCATGTAACTCAAGTTTCAGTCGGTATGCCTGCAACGCAATTTTTAACAGCGTTCTACTCAAGTTTTTGGTGTAAAATACATGTTATCCTGCTGCTAAATACGTAATTTACCTTCAAACCTGCTAGAACTCTTTGTTTGCTACAGCGAAAACTAACACCCTTAGTCTGACGTTACTCCATGATGTGGTCATCATCTCAAAAATAAGCCTCGTCTTCACGCTCCTTTTCAGTCGTCTCATCTATGTCTACTTCTCGCTGTTCGGGAAAAAACAGAACACCGTTTCGAATTGTTCCTATGTTGTCTGCATAAGTGCGCATGCGACCGAACGCGGGCCCAACCTGATGCCGAGGGTCACAGCGGCGCTAATAATGTCGGTAAAATGCGCACTTTTAGCTCAGCAGTTGGCTGTGTGACTTTTCCCCCACGCGACTCAAACGCCACACCAGATAAGCTGGCAGGGCCGTGTCTTCGGGGCCGTTGCTGTAACGTCGTCGTCCAATAGGAAGCGCCCGTAGCGCCCCAACGGCTGCCCGCACGGCTCCATGTTGGATCCGTCTTTCCCTCAGAAATACAGTGAGCTGGAGGTCTGTCTGCGCATGTTGCCAAACATACAGCCAAGCAGCCGGCTCCGCTTCCCGGTGGCCCAGGCATGAGGGACTTGGACGACAATAGGCGCTGTCACGAACAAATGCTCTCCGGTGCTTCGTTTTTACTCGCCGACGTCATCCACACCGTTTTTAACGGGTTTGAGAAAATTAGGTTAGAGGCGCACCTGACGACCGGGGAAAAAGTGGCATGCAGGCTGAGGAAGAAATAATTGGATTGAGATAACGAGGCACCGGCAGTAAGTATAGTTACCTCAACTATCTTCTACACGTTTACTTTAAACTAACGCTTATCCTTTTTTTAAAATGTAATTCTAAACAACCTGACTGATACAGTTTCTCCCACCGAGGCCGGGCAGATTTCCAGATACGAGGCTGGTTAACTGGGGTGAATGTTTAACGCCGGGGAGACGCGCGGATTCTCTTAATATTTCACATGTTTCAACAAGTCACCTGACCCATTACACCAGAACACTTACGGCACGTTAGGAAGAAAGAAAAAAGCAGTTTCAACACCGACCACAGACTTATTTCCTCTAGTCGGTGCTTGAAGTGGAAAGACGTAGAGGCAGCATTTCCCTTATTCGCAAGTTAGCGTGAGGAATCTCCTGCTGCTTATTCCTGTCTGTTATTTGGTTTATAACTTTTGTCATAAATTGTGATTTTTTTGTCGTTATTATACTTGTGCTTTGCATCTGTTGTGGTTGGGCTGTAACGTGATGTGGGCCATGGCGAGGAAGTATATTTACTCATAGTGTTGCAACTTAAAGCGTTTCCCTGTGCGATATGCAGTTAGCATGTAGTATTGCTTTGTGATGTATCACAGGGTGCCTACATCCTGGAATCAGCTCTGGTCGACAAAACCCACCCGTCTCAACTTCAGAGCTGAAAGAAAGCTGTTCCTTCAGGGTTCACGCGCTGTGTCCTATTGTCATAATGACCACACGTGTGATGCAGCGGGATAAAGAGATGCACGACACGCCAAGCCAAGCCCGAAGACCGACACGCAGTTATATCATTATGCTATTAACTACACTGTGTTCCCCCCTAGGTTTACAGCTTTAGGGGGGGGGGGGCGTACCCGGAAATGAAGGTGTCCATGTCGCGGGCGCTCCTCACCACGCACGCGCTGGATGGGGGGGGCACCTTAATTTTGTGACGGCTGCTCTCCGTCCACCGGTAGCGTGCTCACGTGTGTGCGCACGTATCTGTTCTGTTCGTGCCCGTCGGGACGGAACTGCGTGCGCAGACATCAGTGGATAGTTGTAAACGTACGAAAAAGCCAACAGAGACTTTCTGGGGGGGGCACCCCCCTAATTGAATGGTAGGGAGACACACTGCATTTATCACGGCCTTCGTTCTCCACTTGTAGCTGCATTTCCACGGAAATATTCCCCTTGTAAAACCACATTATTTAAATTAAAATAACAGTTACAGAAAACTTCAAAATTTGTTTTCTTTTTTTTTTTACGTTCACTCATTTAAACAACGTTCTGACGACCAGATCACTAAATTACAGCCAAATAATTACCTAACCCTGGAATTACTGAGTGAAGCTGATATGAAGAGGGCAAAAAAAACAACACCGGCGGCGTGATATTCGTGCTGGTGCACAAGGGAAGGTCCCGTGCGGCAAAGAGTTAAATGTTGAAGTACCGGCCTTCTTTGAGCACTGCCTCTTGTGGTGGA